CACCAGGACTGTGGCGGCGGGCGCGGCCTCAGGGCGGGCAGACAGGGAACCGAGGCCCCAGCACAGTTTCGGGCCCTGTCCTCTGGGGTCCCCAGGCAGGCTGGGGCGGAGGGCTCTCTAGGTGTGCGCTCGCCTCCGGGCCAGTGCCGAGGTGCCAGGGCCTCCGGACTGGGGGTGTCGGCGCAGCCCGGCTCCCTCCGCGTGGGCGGCACGGCCGGCTCAGTGATTGTCTCTCTCCTCGGAAGAAGACACTTGGGAAGATTCGTGCTAAAGTGAGACCAGCGGGCGGGCCGGGCGCCGGGTGCTGACGGCTCCCACGGGGGGCTGGGGATGGAGACCCCGGTTCGAGCCCCGCCTGCGGCCGGCCAGTCTCTCTGCCCGGCTGCGGGCCCCACCACCCTGGGCACATTCCTCAGAAAGGGGGGGACAGAGTAGCCACAGAACTGGCGACAGTGACGGGCAAGAAACGACGCAACACGGACCCCGCCCCCATACATCAGTGTCGGGGTACACAGCCATGCACGAGCCCCGGCTCCGCGCCTCTTTCTCAATTTTCTTATTTTTTTCTTAAGTTACATTTGAACACAGAACACATAGAATAATAAATATTCTCGTAAGACACGACCCCCCAAAAACGAGACACCAGCCAGAGAACAGAACGGAACACCCGTCTCTCCCGCGCTCCCGTCCCGCAGGACGCGCCAGCAACAGACGCGAAAACGCGCGCCCGCGCTCAGCCGTCCCGCGGGCCCGCCCAGACGCATGCCGTGCTCTGCAAAATTAGAACTTAACGGTAGAAAGCTTCAAGTCACGTATTCCAAAAACTAGCTAAGGATCTGTGTACCACATAAACTATACATTAAATATCTTGAGGTATTTCAGAGAAGACTGTCAAAGGCTCGCAGGGCTTGTGCTGGGGTCCCTGCGTGGGCGGCGCTCTTCTGCAGTGACCAGCTGGGCCGCAGGTGGAGGCAGGAGGGCCCCGGGGACTTGGGGGTCGGGGCATGAGCTTGGGGGTCCAAGCTCGGGGTAAGAGTGTGCATGTGTGCGTGTGAGTGAGGGTGTGTGCGTGTGGGGCGAGGGTACGCCTGTGTGTGAGGGTGCGTGTGCACGCGTGAGACGTGAGAATGTGTGCACGTGCGAGGTGTGTGTGAGGGTGTGCGCGCGTGTGTGATGTGACACTGTGAGGTGTGTGAGGGCCTGTGTGCACACGTGTGACCTGACTGCCTGTAAGGGCATGTGTACACGCGTGTGACATGACTGTGCACGTGTGCGCTGTGTGAGGGTGTAAGGGCGTGTGTACACGCGTGTGACATGACTGTGCGGGTGTGAGGGTGTGGGCAAGTGTGACGTGAGAATGCGTGTGAGGTGTGTGTGTGATGTCAGGGTGTCTGCAGACATTCAGGGCTCCTGGGCCCACTCCCTGGGCCCTGGCCACCACGAGAAGGTTCTAGGACCAGACTGACCCCAAAGCTGCTCCTAACGCCCTGCAGGGGCACAGCCGGAGGCCCCGGCCCCAGGCAGCTGGCGGCCCAGCTCACCAGGAGGGCACGGAGGGGCAGGGGGAGGCTGTCACGCACACGGAGCACGCCCTGCCCCGGGGGACACAGACTGGCAGCACGCAGCCAAACACCCACTCGGACTGAAGCGTTCGCCCCTCTCCTACTTCTGAGCCGAATGAAAACGTTTAGGCAGCCCACCTGCAGGGGGCAGCAGAGCTCTGGGCCGGGCCATCAGGAGCGTGGGCGTAAGCCTGGGGGCGCTGAGGCCAGGGTCCAGGGGGAGGAGGAGGGGCCGTGGTCCCCCAGAACGGAGTGCCTGGTGCCCAGTGACACCAAGAGAAGGACCCAGAGCTGGTGTGTGCACACGTGTGTACACGTGATAGGGTATGACTGTGTGCCAGTGTGTGAGCAGTGTCTGTGTGTGTCTGCGTGTGCACGTGTGCGCACACATGTGTACATATGACAGGGTATGACTGTGTGCCAGTGTGTGAGCAGTGTCTGTGTGTGTCTGCGTGTGCACGTGTGTACATAGGACAGGGTATGACTGTGGGCCAGTGTGTGAGCAGTGTCTGCATGTCTGCATGTGCACGCGTGCGCACACATGTGTACATATGACAGGGTATGACTGTGTGCCAGTGTGTGAGCAGTGTCTGTGCATGTCTGCGTGTGCACGTGTGTACATGTGACAGGGTAGAACTGCGTCAGTGTGTGCGTGTGAGCAGTGTCTGTGCATGTCCGTGTGTGCACGTGTGTGCACACGTGTGTACATGTGACAGGGTATGACTGCGTGTCAGTGTGTGTGTGAGCAGGGTCTGTGCGTGTCTGCGTGTGCACCTGAGTGCATGGCTGTGCATGTGTCGGGCTACGACTGTGTCCATGTGCGCGCATGCGTGTGTGCACGTGTATGAATGACCACGGAGGTGGGTGGAGCGTGTCTGTGTGCCTATGTGTCGCTGTGTGTGCGTGTGGAGGGCGGGGCTGGGGACCCAGGTCCTGCCTTGGCACCGGGGCTGTGGAAGGTCACGGGTGGTCCTCCGGCTGGACTAGGGGGCAGCGAGTTGACAAGGACGAGGGGACACTCCGTACACATCTTTGGTTCAAGGAAAAGGCACTCACCGACTGGCCGCCCTGCCCGGCCGCGCTCCGCTCGCTCTCGCTCTCGCGCTCGCGCTCGCCCGCCCGCCCCCCGCGGTGTCCAGTCCGGCAGGGAAGGGGTCCAGCACAGGTCCTCGGGAAATCTTTGGTATCAGGCGTGATTTCGCAATCACAGACGTGAACGTTTGACTGAGGTAGCCTTTACCTGGGGTGGGGCATTTCGCTGGGAACGTCTTTTGCATTCTCAAGGGGGAAGGGCGCCCTCCCCGGCAGCCCGCGCGGGTCTGGGGACCGGTTCCTTCCAGCCTCTGATCTGGCACGGACGGGGGTCCTTGGGATGCAGCCTTGGTATCAGGCGTGATTTCGCAATCACAGACGTGAACGTTTGACTGAGGTAGCCTTTACCTGGGGTGGGGCATTTCGCTGGGAACGTCTTTTGCATTCTCAAGGGGGAAGGGCGCCCTCCCCGGCAGCCCGCGCGGGTCTGGGGACCGGTTCCTTCCAGCCTCTGATCTGGCACGGACGGGGGTCCTTGGGATCCAGCCGCAGGCCAGTCTGGGGGGGCTCTGGCCTTCCCCCTTGTACATTTTTTTTTGGCAAAAAAAATACGGAGCAAGCGAATTCCACCTCCTTCAGCACCCTCTTCCTCTGTCCGCGGGGAGCCACGTGCCGGACACGAGGCCCAGGCCCAGCGGGCCCCCCGGAGGCGGATGCGGCTGAGCGCTGGCGGGCCCACCGCGGGCTGGGAGCGGTGGCCGGTGGCGGGGCGTTCCCTTCGCTTCCCTGCGCCGTCAAGGTGCCTGCTAAAGTGAACGAGGGGAGCCGGAGCCGGAGCCGGGCTCTGGCAGTTACCCGCATGTGGCCGAGCCCGCACGCCCCTCCGGACTAAGGCA